GAAAAAAGAGGAACAAATGTAATAATCTGAACAATAAAGATTTAATTAAAAAAAATAAAATAAATAAATAAAAGAAGGAAATTTGAATAAACTATGGACTTATATTAATGTATCAATCTTGGTCATTCATTGTAAGAAATATACCATACTAATGTACTGTGGGCAGGGTATATGGAACTCTGTACTATCCACTCAATTTTTCTGTAAATGTACAACTACTCTAAAAAGAATGTCTATTACTAAAAAATGAATGAGTTATAGCAACATTAATATGAATCAATTTCTTAAATAAGCAAAAGATATACTGAAGTACAGGCAACAAGACTGTACATTAAGTTCAAGAACAAGCAAACAAAAGTGTTTAGGATAAAAAAAACATGGTTAAACTAAAAATAGAACAGTATTATTTTACAGGTGAACAAAATGAGCTCACCATTTGCACAAGGTTCACAGAATCCAGGGTCAGTCCAACCGGTCGTGACTCAGTGGTTGAGAGTCGACCTATGAACCAGGAGGTCACGGTTCAATTCCTGGTCAGGGCACATGCCTGGGTTGTGGGCTCAATCCCCAGTGTGGGGTGTGCAGGAGGCGAATCTCTCTCATCACTGATGTTTCTCTCTCTCCCTCTCCTTCCTCTCTGAATAAAAATACATATTAAAAAAAAAAAAAAAAAGAATCCAGGGTCAGAAAATAAAGTCTAAAAACAAAATTCAGAATAATGGTTGCCTCTGGCAGGGTAGGGGCAGAGGAGGGTGGGAAGAGAGGAAATAGGATGTGATCAGGTTTGAGCACACAGCAGATTTCTGGGATTGTGGAAACATTCTATTTCTTGTCATGGTTGAGTGTATAGGTGCATTTTATGTGACTTTTCAAACACTATATACGTTCTCATATACTTTTATATGCATGCTATATTTCACAAATTTTACATTTTTATTAAAAAATAAAAGAACTACTTCTCTGGCCTCGAAACAAGCTTCGTGTGGGCCCTGGTACACTGGAGAATTATTGTGTAGGAAAGCCACCCTCCTGGATCTCCTCAGGGGTCTCTACACGACCTTGACCTCCAAGGTGGCTCCCGCTGGCCTTCCCTTAGCTGATGGAAGATGCCCTCCTGGTCAACACATGGATGGCTTGAGTATATGCCCAACAGTCCAGAAAAAGCTCCAGGTGGGGACAGCGCATAAGGGTCATCTCCGTCCCTTCCTATCACACACTGTCAGGCTCAGCCTGAGCCTGTGGGGGCCTTGGGAGTCAGTCAGCTTAGCTTGTTTCAGCCCATCCAGGATGGGGATTTAGTCCGGGCACCACCAAAGTTGGAGGGCAGAGGCCTCTCTCAGGACAGATCCCTGATTGCTGCCATTCCCACTCAATTCCTGGACAAAATCCCCACTGCCCCAAGGGACTGATAAGGGAGATGGGTGACAGGCCAAGTGGGAAGAAGTCATGGGTGAAAGATGATCCAAAAATTAACAAATAATTTTCCTGGCACTGAGAGGGGCTCAGGGCAAATCTGTTGATCCAGCACCAAAGGGGGCCCAGCCCATGGGCCAGAAAGCAAGGCTCATGACTCTAAAAGGGACAAGATGTAGACCTGGGAGGGCCACTCCCCTCCTATACCCCACAACCCCACAGCTTGAGTGCTAACATCCCTCCCACAAAGCCCCCATAACCGGACAACAGGGAAAGGGGACCCGGCTGTCTGAGTACTTTTCCAAAGGAACATGGAGGCACAGACAAGCTAAGGGAGCTGCCCACAAGCACACAGGCAGCGACAAACCATGGACCTGAGGCTTCCATCTGGTGGTGGAGAGAGGCCATCCCTCTGAGAGGCTCAATCCTCCTACTGGGAAAGTGGGAGTCCTCCTGAAGAATGAAAACAGGAGAGGATACAAGCAGCCAGCATTCCCCCTCCCCTGAAGCAGGCAAGATCCCATCTCAGTCCAGAAAACACTCCCCAACCCAGAGACAAGGGCCGTCCTATGGGGGAAGGGACCCCAAATTCCAAAGGCCCAAGAAAGTGAAGGCAGAGTCCACAAGCCCACAGCTCCAGCAAGAGGAAGTGAAGTGGGAGTTTCAGTCCCACTTCACTGGGGTAGCCGGTGGAGGCCACAGGGCAGCCTGGGCTTACAGATTTACTGCAGAGAAAGGACTGGCCAGCTCCCTTGGAAGTTCCAAAAAAGATCATTATACCCTTTCACTCAGAAATCCTCCTCCTGGGAATTTACCCAAAGAAGGAAAGGGCTGTGAGCACAAGTCACCAGAGGGTTATTTATAAAGTGACAAACACCGGGAGATTTAAATGGCCAGTGAGAGCTGTGTCCTGATGGTGCTGCCCTTGCCACACAGTTTGGCAGCCTTTAAAACCACAAGCCTGTGTGCTGGATTTGAAGAGCACAGACGTGTGCTTAAGTCGGCTATTTTCCCTCTAACAGCCTATAAAATTGTGTAGAGATCACAGTTAAGAACATACTGAAGCTCCAGGGGGAAAAAAATCCCAGACAGACGAAAACAGCCAACATATCTGAGACTCAGTTTGCTCATCTATTAAATGGGTCTAATTCCACCCATGTTTCAGGGTGTGAGGCTAAGGTTGTGATAACATAGGCAAAGGGCTTGCCTCGTTGCCTGACCCAGATGAATGCTCAAGAAATAGCAGCTTAAGCAAATCAAAATGATCGAGTATCACATCTAAGACTGGGGGGAAACAAGAATGCTGGTGACACCAGTATTGGCAAGGCTGTGGGAAATAGGTGCTCCCATCTTTTTTGGAGAGCAAGCTCACAGAAACCTCAAAGCACATACTCTGAAACCCAGAAATTTCACTATAAAGAATTGACCTCTGCATGTCTTTGGAATATTATGCAAACATGTTTGTGACAGTGCAAACTACTGATCAAATAAACAAAACAAATGCTCACCAAAGCAGATGGGTTACAGAAACTGTGCCATCCACAGAATGCGATTCTGTGAAATTGTCAGAACAAACAAGGAAGAGCACATTGACACCGCTGTGTGTACAGCATGATCACTCTGGTATACTTTATATATACATAGCGCTAGTTAAAAGCTCAATACCATTTTTCTAAAGATAGTACAGAAACTTATTTTGTAGAGACAGGGATTCAGTAGAGATTGGGAAGTAGATATATTTTAAATGTTATACCTCTCTCTGAATTTTTTAAACCATGTGTTCATTTTGCTAAGTGAAAAAAGAGGGACAAAATGGCATCACTCATGCTAAAAGCCTATGACACTAAACCTAGATTTAATACCTGATCTGCTTTTAACCTCTCCTAGAATCAAAATCTTTTTTTAAAATATATTTTTATTTCAGAGGGAGAGAAACATCGAGAATCATTGATCAGCTGCCTCCTGCACTTCCCCCTCCTCCCACTGGGGGGCATGTGCCTCAACCGGAAATTGAACTGTTACCTCCTGGTTCTTAAGTCCACACTCAATCACTTTACCACACCGGCCTGGGCCCAGAATCATAAACTTAACCAGTCTGGAATTTTCTGGTTAAGCACCAGCAATCTGCATGATAAAACTCTCACCTTCTCTTCCCCCATAGAAAGATGTCCCAGCCTGCAAAATAATCCTTCCTTTTCTTTTGTCAGTAGCCCCTTTACTCCTTCTGCCTATAAAAACCTTCTATTTTGCCGAAACCAGTTTGGCTCAGTGGATAGAGTGTCGGCCTGCGGACTGAAGGGTCCCGGGTTCGATTCCGGTCAGGGGCATGTGCCTGGGTTGCGGGCATATCCCCAGTGGGGGATGTGCAGGAGGCAGCTGATCGATGTTTCTCTCTCATTGATGTTTCTAACTATCTCTCTCCCTTCCTCTCTGTCAAAAATCAATAAAATATATTAAAAAAAAAAAAAAAAAACTTCTATTTTGCACAGCCCTTCCGAGTGCCCTTCTGGATGAGATGCTGCCCGATTCATGAATTGCTTTAATAAAGCCTATTAGATCTTTAAATTCACTCAGTTGAATTTTGTTTTTCAACAATTTATATAATATATATAACAAATACTTGTGTTAACTGGGTTATTTGGATGGCAGAATTACAGGCCATTTCTTTACTGTCTTAAGGTTTTTAAAATATATATAACAAAATTTACCATCTTAACCATTTTTAAGTGCAACTCAGTGGAATTACATATTCACATTGTTGTGTCAACACCATCACCCATCTCCAGAACTTTTCAACATTCCAAATGGAAACTGCCCCATAAACACTAACTCCCCATTTATTTCCCCTCCCTCCAGCCCCTTCTGCATGTCTATCAATTTGATTCCTCCAGGAATCTCATATACAAGTGGAATCATACAATATTTGTCCTTCTGTAACAGGCTTATTTCACTTAGCATGATGTTCTTTTAATTTTCATCCCTGCTGTATGTAGCATGACAGGATTTCCTTCCTTTTGAAGACTAAATCACATTCCATTGTATGGATGTTGCAGCTTGTTTACCCATTCATCCATCCATCCAACAATGGACCCTTGGGTTGCTCCCATCTTTGGCTATTACGAATGCTGCAGCCATGAACATGGGTGTGCAGATACCTGTTCAAGACCCTGCTTCAATTCCTTTGGGTATTGCTAGATCATATGGCAATTGTTCAAAATTTTTAAGAACTGCCAGACTGTTTCCCACAGCGGCTGTATCATTCACAGTACCACCAGCAACGCACGAGGGTGCTCTATTTTAAAACTGTTTTTTTAATGGCTGCTAAGGAGGCTGACTGAGGGCTTTAGGCTTATTCCCAGTGTTGATGCCACTGTGTGATTTCTGAAATACAGGACATGTTCTGTGCGGCAACAAGTGAAATCTTCCACCGCAATCTGGGAAAACACCACACACGTTGGTCCCAACTAGTGGCAGCCCAGGTGCAGCAGGGCCAGGTCAGAAGACAGAAGCCTACCCTTCGTGCCCCTCCTGCTGCCCTATGTAGGGAGGCTCCTGAAGAAAGTGGAAAACCTTACTAGGGCACTTACCTCTACAGGCCCTCCCAATGCCAGGTATTCCTGGCGGGCCTGATGTGACCCCTGCCCCCAAAGGCCAAGGTGAAGATTTGTTGAGTCAGGTTTCACTGCCTGTTAGCAGAGAATTCGGTCCTGGGCAGCAGGCAGTTTTGCAGCTTTGGAGCTGGCCGAGCTGGCCTGGGCATGGGCCCGAGACTGGTCATGGGAGTTGTTCCCACCCACAGGGAGCTGCAGTGAGGCCTCCAGGAGCCCTTTGAAGTCAGGCTCGCAGCTTCTGGGACCCTCCAACCCACTCTTAGGTTTCTTAATATTTGGACCAGGAAATACCTGTATTAGAAAAGGAAGTCAGGGTAGGAGTGTTAAAAGATGCAGACTCCTGAGCCCAGGCCCTGGATTTGGATTAAGATTTGGTACTGGGCCTGGAAATATGCATCATTGAAAAGCATGATCAAGTTTAGAAAGTGGATTTGGAAAATAGTTCGCCTCATCCTCTGAGGAAGAATTCAAAGGCAGGGCTGTGGCCCCCAATCTAAGGCTGGCAAGGAAAGCTCCGACATTAGCCCTGTGGGGACGTCTGCTAGGTCTTTGGCACACTGAGTGGGTTCAGAATCAGAGTATGAAAGACCAAGCTGGAGGGCAGGGAGCACCATTCTTTAGGACCCTGCCTCTCTGCACAGCTGAAGGACCGCAGAGAGAAAAGGACAAGGCTTCAGCCCCGTCTCCAATTCCCCCAGGGAAGAATCCGAAATCTAGTATTTATCCTTATGGTGATGACATTCACAACAGGCATCATGCTGAACTCCATACTTTATTCAGTCCTCAGACCCCACGCAGATGTGGGAGCCCAGGCCATGGAAGCTAACTACCCAGCCTGACCCACATCGATGACAGTGGGAGAGCTGGGACTTTTAGAACCCCGTCAGTCTGATTCCACACCTGTGCTACAAACAATAGGGGGGAAGGGAGGAGAATGATAGGAATCAGTTAAAACATCCCCATATTGGCTGTGTGAAACTCTAAGGCACCAGAAGGCACCTGGGAGGCCACTCCTTATCAGGTTGCTTGGTCTCCTAGCAGGTGGTTCAGTGGAACAGCCAGAGCTGGGCAGCCTGATTCTGTCCCAGCTCCCTGCCTACATAAAGTTTTTCTGTTTGTGAGAATAAGTGATAGTGGTAGTAGTACCAGTTGAGATCTTCAGCACTCTCCAGGTCAAACTCTTTCCATTCTTTGATGTGGACTAAGAGTATTCCCAATTCTATGTCAGGTGCTCTAAAGATGTAGCTTCATTTGCCTCTTCCACCTGGAACCTGTCAGGGTAGAAACACTGGAGCTGCAGGTGGGAGGGACCTTAAGGATCTAACCCTGGATGATGCTGGGATGGAGGGGCTTGGAAGGCAGACTGATCCAGGACCTCCCAGCAGAGCAGAGAGGGCCAGCCCAGGAAAAGGGAGAACTCAAGGGTACTGATGGAAGGTATGCACAGGGCCTGGGCACTAAGGTACATCCTGAACCCGAGGGAATCTCAGGGGTCATGGTGATGAGACTGACAAGCAAAAATAAGATCAAGAGAATGGGGCTGGGTTCTCTCCCCCAGTCAGGGGAATGGCAAAGAGGTTCCACCTTTTCTCCCAATGCACTGATGATAATGGCTGCTCGAGGCAAGCTGAGGAAGGACATGAAGCTGCATCCCGGAGTGAGCACTAAGGCCAATGAGCAGCGTCTTCTCCAGGCCACACGATCACCTGCAATGGCCCCACTGCCTGCTGGGCTCTTTAGAAACTGCTCCATCAAATGATGCTGCCCAGGCACTGGTTCTCATACTGAAAGATACTTTAACAGTAACTTTTTGTCCACTTAAAATTACAGTTATCAGATGTTCTGAGCTCCTAAACTACTATACACTTTAGAACAGAACTTTCCTTTTACATCAAATTCATATTTTACACCACCTTTGACCAAGTTTGTTTTAATGAGAATTTGAGGTTAGCTGTGCCACCCCCAACCCCACTTCGTGGTTACCTATACTGTCAAAAAAGCATCACCTCTTAAATAAGGAGTATGAGGGAATGACCCCTCTGCTCACCCCACAGCAAATGCTGAAACCAGACACCAACCTCAGAGCTCCCGACAGCCAGACAGAAACAGTCTAAAATCTGGCCAAAGACTCTCCCCAGGGAAATTCACCAGTAAGAAAATGCAAATGGGTGAACCAGCTCAGTGTTACCTGAGGTTCCCAATCCTACTGGCTCCAACACTCTGGTAAGAAAGGGAGTCTATTTATGGCAAATAATTTTAGGACTGAAACAATGCATTGTGAGAGGGAAGGAGGAAGAGAGGAAGGGAGGAAGGGAAAGAGGGAGGGAGGGAGGAGGGAGGGGGAGAGAAAAAGAGAAGAATCTCTAATGGGCTTCCATTCTGATCAACCCAACACCATTACTGTATAGAAAAGTTTTATTAGTTAATTACCCCAGGTGTTCATGCTCTAGGTCACACCTCTTTCTCAGATCTGGCCCAGGTTCATAGGCATGTTACCAGATTAGCAAGTAGGAAAATTGTTCTGCAAAATAGCAACTGTCAGCTTAAGGCATTACTAACATTGCAGAAGGAAGCAAGGTTACTAGGATGATGATTTCTGGGACAGAAACCCTCTCTGAAAGGGCCAACCTGTGTAGCTGTCCTACTCAGTTGACACTCTTGCTCTGGGTGACAGGTCACTCTTTTCAAACCCACCCACATCATCATACACAAAACACTGTCTAGTCCTCGAGCCTTCAGATTGAGTAGTTATATAAAAAGTACTGTCCCAGAAGTCTCAGCATATCTGTGGGCCTCCCAGAAGGCTCACTCAGTCCTCCCTGGCTGGAGCAGGGAAGGATGGATTTATATGGAAGGTTGGTCAGGCTCAGTTTTAAAAAATGAAGTCACTACTAGAAATATGGAGCCAGGGGGGCAGAAACCCCTGCTGCAATCACATGCTGAATCATTGTCCTCCCAGAGAGCGGGCTCCTACGGTTCTTTCAGTCCACGGAAGTGCTCAGAGCAGGGCAGGCCAGTGTGGCCACGGAGCTGCTGCCTGCCTCACTGCATGCCGAACCACTGCTCCTGGTCAGCCCACTGGGCCGCCTCACTGTCGCTGCCCTCCAGGTCCCCTTCTTCCCCACTCCCTTCCATGTCGTCCACATCCTCCTCCTGAGTGGCATCCGTGGGACTCTCCTCCTTCTCCATCTTCTGCATCCCCTCTAGAGACTTCTGGTCATTGGGGTCCAAACTAGGGGACAACAAAACAAAGGAGAGGCCTGAATCTCTGCCTTGCTTCTTGCTGGCTGAGGTGTCATCTCCTGGCTCACCAGTGAAATGACCACCCAGTCACAGAGAAACTGCTAACGCCTGGCCTCTCCAAACAACTCCAGTTCCACAGGCAGGATCAAGGGAGTCCACCACTAGAAGTGAAAAAAGGCATCTTGTCCTAATTTTTAGAATCCTCAATTGGAGTTTTTCTTCATTGATGTCTTAAACCTTTTCACACATTACCCCTAGCACTATGCTAGAGGAAGCTATCAGATAACACAAATAAAAAAGTAGTAAACACCCATTAATAGAAAAATTCAAATGTACTTTAACTGTATTGGGTTTTTAAGCTACAAGGTTACAAAAAATACTTATTTTCCTGTGAATAAAATTGTTCCATGTTCTTATAATTAAACGTATCAGCACTGCAGGAGTTAACCAAAATCATGCTTACCATGGAACAGATTTGTCAACTCCTAGGTTAGACCCCAGGACCCAAAGCAACCCCTATCTGAGCATTCAAGTTTAATAGCTATGAGCCATTACACGTGCAAAAGCCCCCAAAGTTCAGAAGCTCAAGAACATTTATTTACTTGGCTCCTAAGCAATCTTTCCTCTTTTCTTTGTGACCATCACCCAAGCCAGCAGGTGTCCACCCTCTAACAAATCCCACCTCTAATAAAAGTCTGGCATTTTATTTTCTCACTTGCTTCCGGGCTTCCAAAAAGCAGACAAAACCCATGAGGGAATCCTGTTCCTACTAATATACCTGTAGATTGATTTGTATCATCTCCTCTTCTCTAAAACCTTCCATACAGCTCTCACCCACATCCAGGGCTTCCCCACCCTCTGTACTCCCACCTTGCCGTCTAGAGACTGCTATGAAAGCACTTAGCACGTGGTATCCATCAGTCTGCACGTCTGAGACTGAGAGCAACTGGAACTGCAGCATCCCCAGTGGTTACTGAGATGCCAGGCACAGGAGTGGTGCTCAACTGCTGAATAAGTAAATGAATGTGATCAGACTCAATTAAAGACAGGCCTTACCATGACCTTAAAGACACACAGACAACCCTCAAAGAAATCACTTCTGTACTAAGCAGTAAGAATACCTCTATTTATTTAGTATTTACTACGTACCAGGCACAGTGCTAAGAGCTTTACATGGAATAATAATTTAATCCTCATTTAATCATTTAATACCTAGTACGGTAGATAGATATAGACAAGGAAATTTGTTAGTAACTTGCCCAAGATAACAGGTGGTGAAAGTTAAGTAACCAAACTTCAGAGCTTAAGTTCTTAACTACTACAGTAGGTAAAAACATGGGAAAGTACTCATAATACTTTGATTTGAAAAAGCAGAATATAAAATATATACTACATATAACCCTATAAAAATATGTATATGTGTGGTCAAGGCCAGGAAGATGATTTACACAAATGAAAACAGAAATTATAGTGGTGTGAGCTGATTATGAGTGAAACCATTGTTTAATGTTAATATACTTTAAAAAATTTTTTTGAAGTCATGAATTCACAAATTCCACCTCTATTATTACTGTTTGCAACCGTGGGCACAATGTGTGTGTGTGTTTCAGAATTTCTGTGACATAGTTCCCTGCCTTCTCTACCCCTCATCAAACTTCCCCCCAGGAGGCTAAGTGCCTACCTTAGTGCTATACTATACTGGTCCATTGCTTCCTGATACTCATTGACAGCTACAAGGAAATCTCCTAGGATCCGATGCAGGACACAGTCACTCTGATTAGCTAGTGCGTTCCTCAGCAAAGCAATCCCATCTTCGTATTTCTGCTCTCTGCCTGAAAAAAAAAAAAAAGACCCTCATTTTCCTACTTACCCAACATTTTGAAAATACATTCCCATCTCAAGTTGTTGTTCTTGTTGTTTATTAATCCTCACCCAAAGGTATTTTTCCATTGATTTTTTTTAAAAATATATTTTATTGACTTTTTAAAGGAAGGAAGGGAGAGAGATAGTTAGAAACATCGATGAGAGAAACATCGATCAGCTGCCTCCTGCACATCTCCCACTGGGGATGTGCCTGCAACCCAGGTACATGCCCCTGAACGGAATCGAACCCGGGACCCCTCAGTCCGCAGGCTGACGCTCTATACACTGAGCCAAACCGGTTTCGGCTCCATTGATTTTTAAAAAGAGTGGAAGGAAGAGAGAGAGAGAGAGAGAGAGAGACATTGATTGGTTGCCTCCTACACGCACCCCCAAGCAGGGCCGGGGAACCTGCAACCAAGGTACATGCCCTTGACCAGAATCGAAACTGGAACCCTTCAGTCAGAGGGCTGATGTTCTATCCACTGAGCCAAACCGGCTAGGGCCCCATCTTAAGTCTTATACACAAAAACCACAACACTGATCACCACCCAACAATCTACTTGTAGATGTCCTCAAGAAAAAAGTGGTGTGGCAGGAAATAAGAACAAGCTCATCTGAATTCCTATTCCATTAGGAAATCTGCAGTTTGGGTTCTGATTTTTTTTTAAAGGTACTATTAGCCCAAATCCAGGAGTTCATCATAAATCGGAACTAAAAAAAGAAAAAAGGCTAGCCCTGACAGGTGTGGCTCAGTTGGTTGGAGTGCTATCCCCTGCACCAAAAGGTGGCAGTTTGCCCAGGCAGTGTGGCTGTGGTTGAGCCAAGAGATCACCGTTCAATTCCTGGTGGCATATGCCCAGGTTGTGAGCTCAATCCCCAGTGTGGGGTGTGTAGAAGGCAGCCGATCAATGATTCTCTCTCATCACTGATGTTACTCTCTCTCTCTCTCTCTCCCTTCCTCTCGAAATCAATAAAAACATATTAAAAAAGAAAAAGAAAAAGGTAGCAGCTTGATTCCTGGTCAGGGCACATACCAGGTTTCAGGTTCAAGTCCTAGTAGGCCCATTCAGGAGGCAAATGATCTCTCAGTATCTCTTTTTTTCTCTCTCTCTCTCTCTCTCTCTCTCTCTCTCTCTCTCTCTCTCAAATCAATAAAAACAAGTCCTCGAGTGAGGATTAAAAAATAAATAAAATAAAAAATAAACAAGGCTAAAAGGGAAATCGTTAAGAGAATCCAGATGAGTCAAAACAGCTTGAGTCGGTGCAAACCAGTTATATTCAGCCCAACTAAAACTGGATCAAAGTGAGCTGAACAAGTAACAACCAAATATAGCTCTACAAGAGTCAGTCACTGCCGATTCAAGCAGATCCAAGCCAGCTACATTTGGTTGTGCTAAACCAATTCATCTGGGCTCAGATCTACTACAAAAGGAACACACTTATTTGATCACCTGTCACCAGCTGAACTGGGGAAATCAACTGAGATAAGATTTTATACAATGAATGATGAACAGGGAAGTAAAGAAAATACACTTACTAAGTAGTTCTGCTTTTTTCACCACAGCCTTAATGTAATCCGGCCTTTGGTTCAGGGCTTTATCTAATAAAGTTTTGGCTTTTTCCTGTGTCACTGGGTCTTCGAGACAAACAGTGGCTAAAAGGGTAAGAGTCTGTGCATTTGCTCCTAGAGTTTTGTAAACATTGTTAGCCATTACCATTGCTTCACGAATACTGTTTGAGGCTAAGTAACATTCGATGAGACCTGAAAAATATAAAACATAAAAAGCTCAACCACATTACCATTCTAAGCCATGCTTCCACTCTGACAGCCTTCCAAATAATAAACCTTCAAAGTTTCAGACCAGGGGCAGGCCAGGAGAAAACTTTTTTTAAACTATATTTTATTGTTTTTTTACAGACAGGAAGAGAGAGGGATAGAGAGTTAGAAACATCGATCAGCTGCCTCCTGCACACCTCCTACTGGGGATGTGCCTGCAACCAAGGTACATCCCCTTGACCGGAACAGAACCTGGGACCCTTCAGTCCACAGGCCGATGCTCTATCACTGAGCCAAACCGGTTAGGGCAAGGAGAAAACTTTGATGGTGAGATTAGACTGGACGTTATGTTGATGGAGTAAAGAGTGCTCGTCCCTGCCATAACCAGTTTGGCTCAGTGGATAGAGCGTCGGCCTGCAGACTGAAAGGTCCCAGGTTCGATTCCGGTCAAGGGCATGTACCTTGGTTGCAGGCACATCCCCAGAAGGGGTGTGCAGGAGGCAGCTGATCAATGTTTCTCTCTCATCGATGTTTCTAGCTCTCTATCTCTCTCCCTTCCTCCCTGTAAAAAACTAATAAAATATATTTTTTAAAAAAAGTACTCGTCCCCAGAGCACTTCACAAATATGGAAAAAGCCTGCACTTCGAAGGCACCTTCAGTTAGGAAGGTAACAAACACGGCTAAGTAAACTGAAGCATGTATGCAGCCCAGCTGAATGTTAGAGAAACAAATATGACACTAATCATTAGCTGAAACAGTCACAGATGTTTCTAACAAAACCAGGTTTCCCTGTCTCTTAACAAGCTATTAATTTCCACTGTGTTCAATCACCTTTAATGTCCTAGTTTTAAGCTCCTATAAAAAAAGTGAATGTCCAGTTCTACAAACTAAAGGCCCTTGGGAGCAACCCAAGGAGAAAAGAAGACTTTTTCATTTGAAACACAGTCCCCAAAAGCATTTGCTGAGGACTTCCCTAAACTAGATGGAAAGAGCTTCATCAGATGGACTGAATATACCAAGATTAGCAGCTTCTGCCTCTTTTCATACCCACAGCAAGATAGATGTCCTATGGGGACACTTCAAATACAGTCAACTCTTCAAGAAGTTGAGGAAAACAGAGGAAGTATTTTTTGGCACAAAGCACTCATCAAAACAGCTTAAACCCCAAACCCACACAATCCCCGGCTAATTCTCTCTGCATACTCCTCCACCCTAGCACATTCCACCACACACTATGGTACTTAACCAGAAATTACCTAACTCTTAAGGGCAACGTGTTAGAGTCAGAATACAGTAGTCTGCAACTACTTGAGAAGTTATACTTCCCTGCAAAAGCCCCATTGGAATGTCAGAAGTAAATGGAAAGAATGCCCCTACCAGTAAAAGAAGCTAGACTGGAGGCTGCAAGCACCAGAGGGTATGACCAGTCACCCTGATCCAATCTCCAAATGGTAACTTGAGTGAAGGCAGCCCTTGAAGCCTCACTGGCCAGCCAGCTGGGGAACAACCTCTGCCCCCAACAACTCTTCCCAGCCTGTGTCCAAGCTCTTCAACTGCATTCCTGGGTTCAGGTGAGTCAGGCACACAGCACAAAGGAATTAGCATGATAAAAGCTGCTGAGAGGTAGGGACATTATAGCTCAGGATTAAGAATTTAATTTGAAACCAAAAGCTTGGTCTGCTGAGGTTTCTTTAAGAACAAATCCACCATAGGTATAGCTCTGACTGACTAAGCAGATTTGTTTTTATTTATTTTACATTTTATTTGTTAATTTTATTGGGGTAGTAATCCACACAGGAAAATTTGTTTTTTTACCCCCACTTCCAAATTTTATTTTTCAAATTTGAACTCATCTTCCTGTTAACAGCAAATGACTCCTTATACTCTTGGGTTTATTTTTAAATTCTTTTATATAAAAATATGCTTTGGAGGAACTGCATTTTGTAAGAGCTATTTCAAAAAGTCTGTGACTGAGTCACCAAATATTGCAGAAGCTGGCACAACTCCTTTGAACTCCTAGGGTCAGTTCACATGAACTTAAAATAGTACATAACAAAACAAAGTTTGACCCTGATCAAGCCCACTCTGGAGTCACAATGAACCTACCAATTCCCACAACACCACCATCATATGAATATGGATTACCCTATGGGTCAGTGGTCGGCAAACTGCGGCTCGCGAGCCACATGCGGCTCTTTGGCCCCTTGAGTGTGGCTCTTCCCAAGCCTAGGAGTACCCTAATTAAGTTAGTAACAATGTACCTACCTATATAGTTTAAGTTTAAAAAATCTGGCTCTCAAAAGAAATTTCAATCGTTGTACTGTTGATATTTGGCTCTGTTGACTAATGAGTTTGCCGACCACTGCTATGGGTAATATTCCTGGCCCAATGTAAGGCAACTGTGAAAAAGACTGAAGACCTATAATAACCAAGTGATTCAGCACACTGCTGGCACAGAGAGATTTACACTAACGAGTTGTCCATGTTTGAGAACCCAAAAAAAGGACCAAAAAATTAACCTCAACTACTTACTCCATCACCAAAAAACAAAACAAAACAAAGAGAAATGGATTCTGAAAGTATGAAGTGAAAAGTCCAGCAAAAGCCCTTAAATTTAAAGTGCCTAATGCAGTGATTCCCAAACTTGTCTGCACATTAGCAATATTTGGAATCTTCAAAAAAAACACTGATACCTATCTCCCACCACCAAATATTCTAATTTACATGATATTAGAGCAGTGGTTCTCAACCTTCTGGCCCTTTAAATACAGTTCCTCATGTTGTGACCCAACCATAAAATTATTTTCATTGCTACTTCATAACTGTAATGTTGCTACTGTTATGAATCGTCATGTAAATATCTGATATGCAGGATGGTGTTAGGCGACCCCTGTGAAAGGGTTGTTCGACCGCCAAAGGGGTCGTGACCCACAGGCTGAGAACCGCTGTATTAGAGTAACCTGGCATCAGGACTTTTAAAAGTTCCCCCAGTGGATTCCAAAGTACAACCAAGTTTGGGAACTGCCAGCCTAACAAAGTCTTCCATCTGAGTGCTGTTGCTACACCTACAGATTCACACTGTCATCTATGATTTTTATCTTACCTTCATAACAGTCTAAGCGACAAGGTGCAAGCCGTATAGCCTCCCGAAAGTGGATTATTGCTTCTTGGACTCTGCCCATGTTCCTGAGTGCTGCTCCCTTAAGTAGCAAAGCTTGGACACTATTACTGTTCAGCTGAATGGCCTTTGCTCCTAAATAGAGGGCCCGAGAGTAGCGTTTGCTATAGAAGCTATGACACCTGGAGAAAAAACAAACAAAAGTTACCTTAGAGAACATTACAGGCATACCACATTTTATTGCTCTTTGTTGTTCTTCACAAGTGTTGTGTTTTTTTGCAAAATGAAGGCAAGATCTTCCACAAATAAAAATACTATAAAACTCGCTTTATTGAGTTAGTTGGCGTGGAACCTGCAGTATCTCCAAGGTATGCCTATGTAAAGAAACTTCATAGAAGGCCCTCTCCATGATTCTTATTACAAACCTCACTTAATCTATCAGTGAAAGAACGAAACAAAAATATCTACTAAACATTTATTTTTAAAGGAGAAATCTTGATATGGAAGGAGAACCTGATGATCTGGATATGTTATCAGATCAGAGACATTCAGAGAATTTATAAAGCCAGGTCAATAACAAAACAGCAGCTCCTGTGCTGAGCATGATGCATTCACTATCTCAGTTAATACCTACCCCATGAAACAGCGGTATTGTCCTTGTTTCCCGAAGAACAGAGATTTAAGCGCCGCTGGTTTTTCGAATCCAAGTCTTATTATCTCTTAAACCTGTGTTTTCAAGCTATAGCCTATTCAAGAACTACACGTTCCCAAAGACTCTGCTGGAAACTGGGGGGGGTGGGGGGGGGGGGTGGAGGAAGGGGGAGCGCATAAACATACCCAGAGACCACCCAGGGTTCTGCATGCTGATCAGAAATATTGAAAAGGCGGCAGCCAAGATTCTCCACATCCTCCAGCCGCCCTTCTCGTGCCAGGAGGTAGCCATATACATCCATTCCTAGAAAGGAAGAGGCTCTTTAAACTCCCTTATAAAAGGTAGCACCATCCTCAGAGCCCACACTGAGGCCCCAGCTCCTTAGGATTTGAGCCCTTTCCACCATCATGAGCTCCTTCCATCAGCATTCCCAGTTCCCAACAAAAGGATTTATAAAAACTAAAAACAACAGCCCAGCCGGGATAGCTCAGTGGTTGAGTGTCGACCTATGAATCAGGAGGTCACAGTTCAATTTCCGGTCAGGGCACATTCCCGGATTGTGGGCTCGATCCCCCATGTCGGGTGTGGAGGAGGCAACCTATCAATGATTCTCTCTCATCCCTGATCTTTCTATCTCTCTACCCCTCTCTTTTCCTGTCTGAAATCAATAAAAATATATTTTAAAAAAGAAAAAACACATACAAACTAAAGAAAAAGGAAAGGAGTAGGACCTACCTCCCAATTTAAAAGTCTGTTATTTTCAGGAACTGTTTGTCCCTATATCCTGTGGTGTGAACTACAGCCATCCTAACTCAACCAGAAAGGCCCAAAAAAGGTATCAAGTAAGTTCTCTCTTCCAAGAGGTCTAGGCACACACTTAATATGCCAGTTGGTCTTGAAAAAATGTTAGCCTATTCCAGAAAAAGCATTAGTTCTTTCTGGAGTCTAATTCATGTAAAATCATCCCTACACACACACACACACACACACTTCATTCTCTCATGTTCTATAAAAAGGGCTCTCCATTCTTGTCACTCGTCTCTTAACACTATTCCCCTCCATTTCTTACTATCCCTTCAGATTCCCAGGAAAATGTGTCTCAAGCCAAGATTACTGCAACATTCCCTGCTGGCCCCGACTCTGGTCTGAGCTTCCAACTCCAGGCTGCTGACTACTACCAGATTAGTATTTCTAAAACACCATTTTCATTATGGTCATGGGTAGCTTGGAGAAGAGAAATAAGCACTGGGCAAGAGGGAGACCTTAACAAATTCATCTTTCCTCTCACTGCTCTGTCATTCTTGTGGCTTACATGTCTACAAGACTGTTTATTGTAACAAGGTCATTCTGATGGCCTTTTTGGGGTCTTTACAAGCAGACCTCAGCCCTTCTATTTGACTTTATTTCCTACTGCTATTCCTGAGCACACACCCTTCACTTACTGACAGTCACCTCACAGTCATCCTTTAGAAGTGCCTGTAGCTTACTCCTTCAACTGCATCTCCTTTCAGATCAATAATTTTTGTTGTTGTTCACTCCTAATTACTTCCTTCATTTACCTCATCCTTTTCTTAACATCTGTTCATTTATTCTCTTTTAACTATACTAAGGACAGAGTAAAATAAATCTCCTAAAAAGACATTACGGTTCTGGGGATGCCATCCAAACTCTCAGTCAGGCACATCATAAATCTATAAATCTTAAGGAGAGCCTATGATCATAAGGAGAGGCTCTAACTCCTTGCAAACGAAAAAAAAAAACTAAATAATGATCTGTGGTGAGATGACATTTGAATGAAGCAAAAACAACTGCTCACATGAAATTACCCAAGTGTTGGAGACACGTCAGGACCAAAAGGTAAATAGCAACTGTAACAAATTTTACAAACTATGTCCATGATAACTGGAATCAGAAGATCATGCTACATTTTCAATCTTTCCTGATCTGCCCCTCTATTGTCACTTCTGCCCTGCCCCAAGAATTACTTACCTTTTATTAGATAAGGATCCAACATCTGTGCTTGTTCAAATTTGAGGACAGAGTTTTTATTGTCTCCAGCTCTGAAGTACAGATCTGCTAAGCTTCCCAGTAGATCCACGTTATCTCGTAATAATGACTTTTTCTCTAGTGAACTTTAAGATATTAAACAGTGAACCTTAAAACCTGCTATAAATCCTCTTGGTTGTTAAGTCTGGGTGACGGGCATATAGGTACTATTTTCTTTTGTGTATGTATGAAATTTTTCAAAATAAACTTTAAAAACAAACTGTCCACTAGATTTCCTTATTCTAAGCTTATGATTTAAAAAAAAAAGTTATACCTAAAAGTTAAAATATACAATTTAAAAATAATGAAATTGTATTATCTAGACATAAAAATTAAATGCAGCCCTGACCGGTTTGGCTCAGTGGATAGAGTGTCAGCCTGCGGACTGAAGGGTCCCAGGTTCGATTCCCGTCAAGGGCGTGTACCTTGGTTGCGGGCACATCCCCAGTAGGGAGTGTGCAGGAGGCAGCTAATCGATGCTTCTCTCTCATCGATGTTTCTAACTATCTCTCTCCCTTCCTCTCTGTAAAAACTCAATAAAATATATTTTTTAAAAAATATATTATTCACAAATGACAGCTACTTGATACTCAACCAAATGACAGCATTAACACAAATCCCAGTCTCTTGTCCTTGGACTTTACCTGGCTAGAAAGAAAATCCCAGTCCTAGGGACGCAATCCAGATCAGATGCTGCAGTAACTATGCTTCTGGGCATGCAAAAAGATGTCTTCCAGGTTCAATCAAGCATGATACACAAAGGCAGTTTGCTTTGCAAGGGTTACTACTTTTGCAAGTACAGAGCTAAACTCGGTCCAAGTTTACAATTAACAGGTGCTCAGCAGAGATTATTACATTTGGGACCATATGGTACATTAAGAGACTAACAAAGCCCAGGGACAACTGGCTGCAACACCAAGAGATAAGCACCTAATTTTTCTGTTTTGCTAATTTAGATATATCAGACCTCCTTACAAGGAAAGGGCTTCAAGAACACTTAGTAATTTTGTGGCTCTCACCAGATGGTATTGATTGCTCTTGAGTTGTCACCAGTATGCACAAAAGCATATGCTTTGATCCACACAGACAGCCAGTCCAAGTTAGGCACGGTCTGGATGACATTCATTGTCATTGATGCCACCTCTGCACCTTTTACAGATAGGGACAGCAAACCTAACCCAACAGAAAGCAGGAAAAAGAAAGTGAGGCATAGCATCTATCTTCTACAATGTAATAACCAACAGGTTACCCTTTCCATGGGCTAAAGGCAACTCTGTCCTATTCGAATCAAGATGCATATGACAGAACAAACATAATTTATTATTTCTTGATCAGTGAAATACATGACAACGGTAATCTATTAAATCACCATCTACAGATGAAACTTTTGGAAAAATAAAACTATTCTAGTATACCGCCAAGATTGAGAACTACTACATTAGAGAGTAAACACTCTATGGCAGAGAATGATCCGTACCTAGAATGGCATCAAGGGCTAATGGGCACTGCCTCAGCACTTCCTTATAGCTGGTGACTGAAGGGCGCTCCTGACCAGCCTTCTTATACAAATTTGCCAGCATCATGTTTATCTGTAATAAATAAAAACAGAAGACAATAAGATTAAGTGTATATTGCAAAGAAAATATTTCACCATCAATTTAGGTCCTGATTTTTATTACTAGCTACTACTTTATTTTTTACTAGAAAATCTATCCACAGCTCCATAGAAATAAACAAAGATCAACTCCATTCATCAAACCAAACTGAAAATTACCACCTTTGCTTTTCCTATGTCCTCCCATTTCTAAAAGGAAAATCCTTTCACTTACCCAACCAAAAGGTCCAATAGTATTTGGACCAAAGATGCTGCCTCTGGAAATGGGAGTAACATTCATTTGAGAAATGTTACAGAATTCTAATTACCTTGATGCTTTCTTGGTCTTAAGACAGAAGATGAACTATTCTAGAAGTGCTCAAGTTTACATTTTTTAAATGCAATTAACATCAAGCCACAGAAGTGAGGAATTCTTAACATAGCTACTTAAGATGAATTTTCCCCAAAAAGGAAATGACAGACCCAAAAGCACAATGCTTGTCTTCTCTCTGACAATTAGTCTAGCAGCTAGCTAGACTCTAGCCTTTCTCATGCTTAAAGCTTTGACCAATAGGTACTGTCTGACTCATCAAAGTTATGTTACAAAAATCAAACTCTGACCTTTAAAAAAACAATGATCCAGAGATTAGTTATACTATTTAAATAACACAATTCAAATATGTAACTCTGCAAAACTTTATATTCCAATTTAAAATTAATAGATCATAACACAACACAGAGTTTGCCAGATCATTAACCTAAGGAAGCAGTCAACATGAGGGTACAAGAGTAAAAAAGCCAATCCCAATCTCTTCAATCTGTAGCTTCGTACTCCAGATATTTACTCAAAAGAATGGGTCTGAAGATGAAAAACATCTGTTCCAATTATGTACTTACAGTATATAAAACAATCTAGTATGGCATAAATCCATACTGATTCAAACAATGAAATAATAAAATACTAGAAATAAAACTATTTTTTATTTGGCCTCAGATTTTTCCATTTTAGGCTATATTGAAATGCAAAAGAAGGTACTTAAAGGAAAACTCCAGTATTAGTGTCTATACTTAAAAAGAGGTTTAAATTTAAAAACCTTTCTTGACTGCTTATTATTAACAAATCATGACTGATGGGCCAACAAATATTAAAATTCCCTTTAAACTACCTGGCACTTCAAAAGAATAAGTTTTGAGTACTACCTAGTGAGAAAATCAACTATTTTTAAAGCAGATACTTACTTGGTAACATCACAAAGTCACATTCTACCAGTTATAAACACAGCAGTAATCGTTTTCTAAAAACTGAGAAATTACATGTTATATGTTTGCTCTTAAAAGTCAAAGATTTACCAAGATATAATAATCTCACACTGGAATTTTCCTTTAAAATGTGAAGGAATGTGTGGCGGTGTTTACCATACATTAACAGACGTTCATTTAGACGTATTTTGACTCACTTCCTTGTCCTGTACACAGACTGAGAAGCCAGTTAACTCCCTAACGGACAAGAAAGAAAAACTGTAAATATTATAGGTTTATGTTTGAGGCACACATCTTTGTTTGCTCCTGGCTATAACAGCTCTACAGAATGAAGAATATGTACTCCTAATAAATGCAGATTCCTCTAGTCCCTCTTAAAATGATAGCAGTAAACACCAAAGCGCTGGATACTACAAAACTGAGCTTCTTTGTCATTACTCATTGTCCCCAAACTCCTTGAAGTCATTAAGGAGGAAATAATGGTGCATTTCCAGTAAGATAATGAACAGGTATAATTCAAAGTTTATAACGAAAACAGCATCTTTCAAAAGATATTCTTCATATATGAAAAAATTATTCTTCAGGTAAGTCTTTCATAGGGTACCAGAACACAAGTTAATATATAAGCATTCAAGCTTATTTTAAGACAGAGTAGTCTGTAACATGCTTCCAAATGTTTTTAATAGCAGCCACCACCATAAAATATACTGGGGAAATAGCTTAATTATAAAAACTCAAAATCGTAAATACATTCTCATTATGAAGAGATGCTTAAACATATTCTCATCAAGTTTGATTGGTTACTTTTAAAACTTAGCAACATTTAGGTGAAAAAACACTAACTAAATACACTAGGTCCTTACTGATTAGATTCCTCTTCTTTTAAGGACAGTAGGATGAAAACAGGCATCTTACAGATAAAATCCTTCACTTAATAGTTACACAAGTTACACAAAAGTTTTTCATGAAGTGAGGGAGACAGGTGACATGAAAGAATATGGTAGAAATTAAATATTGACATGAATTCAATCTAAGAGCAAGGATTTGCATTATTTTTCTAAACTGGGCTTAAAAAAAAAACACACACCCAAAAACCCGTAATCAAAGATGTCCAATATAATACTCCGTACAGAACAGTACTTTAAAGAGTATCCTCACATACATAAACATAGTTTTTCCAAAAGTTAGCAGAAAAAGTATTATCCTCATTTTATAAATAAGGGGGAAAAATAAGGTTCAGATTGGAATTTGCCCAAATACACACTACAGCTTGTATGCCCAAAACTCAGACAAGACGCCAGATCTTCTGATTTCAGTTGAAAATGTTCTATTCACTACAATATGTTGTGAAATCAAATACAAATACATACCCCACACACAAATAAGTACAAAAGGGTCTTGTAGACTTGATTTTGAAAATGAAGGGATTAATAAAATCATTCACATTGCAAAAAAATAAGGTTCTAAAACAGTAGTGTTGCCACCTGGAAGTGTATTGCAATTCATTCTTTTCTATAGTAAGAAAAACAAAGAATAAGCACTTGTATTCTCCAGCTACCATTTTCATCAGCTGAATTTTCAGGGTCTCAGAAGAAAGGCACTCTTCTACCTCTCTGAACTCTTAACTCTCTAACAAGGGAACAAAGTGAAAACCAGAGAGAGGCAAGAGTGAAATGTTCAGATGGACTCCCTAATGCAGTGGTTCTCAACCTCGGCTGCACATTAGAATCACCTGGGAATCTTTTTAAAATCCTGATTTCTGGGCCTCATCCTCCGGAAATTGTTTCTTTGTTACTAATGTTGTGGCCCCACCCCATAACAAAGAAACAGAATTCCAGAGGATGAGGCCCAGAAATCAGGATTTTAAAAAGATTCCCAGGTGATTCTAAAGTGCAGCCAAGGTTGAGAATCACTGCTCTAATGTATAGTGAAAACATGAAGGAAGAGTGGTGGAAGGAATGGGGAGTTGAAAATGATGTAACAAATTGTTAATTCAACTTACTTTGGGGGTTCTTTGTCTTGAAGGGATCCCATCAAGTATAGCAATGGCATCTTTATCTTGTTTTAGCATTGTGTAACATTCAGCCATTTTGTATTTCACTTCAATTTCAGATGGAAGACACTAAGAGGAAATGAAAACATCTCTTCAAAATATTAAACATTATGGTACTTCTTCATAATCTTAAACATAGGGTTACCATAATATCTATCGCCCAGCAATTCTGCTCCTATATATACAGCCAAGAGAACTGAAAACATATATCCAAGTAAAAGCCTACACACAAATGTTCATAACAGCATATATATATATATATATATATATATATATATATATATATATATATATATAAAAGCCTAAGTGACCGTTATGACCAGATGACCAGTCAGTAGCTATGACACACACTGACCAACGCAGGAGCTGCCCCCTTGGTGGTCAGTGCGCTCCCACAGCCAACCTCCCGTGGCCAGCCAACCTCCCACAGTCCCTCCCCCTGGCCAGCCGGCCCTGATCAGCCCCGATCACTGGCCAGGCCAAGGGACCCTACTCATGCACGGATTCGTGCACCAGGCCTCTAGTTAATTATAAGCAAAAAATGGAAACAATCCAAATGTCCAATAGTTAAAATATGGTATAACCATAAAATGAAATATTATTTGGGAAAAAAAGGAATGAAGAACTGATTAATTCTATAACATGGATCAACCTTGAAAATGTGTTAATTGCTCTGGCTGGTGTAGCTCAGTGGTTGGAACACAGGTCCATGCACTGAAGGGTCTCGGGTTCAATTCCTGGTCAAGGGCACATACCTGGGTTGCAAGTTCGGTCCCTGGCCCCAGTCAGGTCCAGGGTGTGTGTGGGAGGCAACCAATCGATGTGTCTCTCTCACATAGATGTTTCTCTCTGTCTCTCACCCTCCCTTCCACTCTCTCTAAAATCAATGGAAAAAATATATCCTCAGGTGAGGATTAACAACAAACACACACACAAACAGGGAGTACTGAACACACTGCTTCAAAACTTTTCTTTACTAATATATACAGGCTTTCCAAATTAGCACATACATTTATCTCATTTTTCATTTAATAGTTCCATCATATTGCATCTTATAGCTAAACTATAATTTAACTAGTCCTAACTAATGAACACTTTTGCTTCCGTTTACCATTATAAACAATTCTGCAATAAGCAACCTTAATTATATATCTTATAAATCTTTTGTGAGTCTACTATATGGTTAATTTCTAGCAATGGGATGGCTCCACCAAATGGTAAAATTATAACCCCCCTTCATTTATTTAACTAATTCTTAAGCAACTATCAAAAATTGGCAGGAATTTTCAGATTTCCCATACATTTCCCCAGATATTCACAGTCGTAAAATTTGAGTTACATTTTAAAGTTATATTTTCATTAACATTATAAAAACACTAGATTTTAAGTTCTGTTTGTATGAAAGAGAGGAACAATGCATGACGTTGGTTAGAACCCAGAAAATTCATAGTTAATTCCATTTTTTGAATTCATCCAGAGTGATTTTTGCTTTTAGCCCTAACTGCTTGGTTGGATGCATTCTTTCATCTAAGTGGTTTTTCATCTTTGTTTCTCCAGTCAAGTCCCCTTTAAAATTACATTTTATTTTACATCTTCCACATCAGTCTTATAAATTCTTTCAGTCTCTCTCGCACCCAGCCCTCCCCCACCAAAATCACACTTTGTATTTCCAATTACCTGACTCTGTGGAGTGGATGTAGAATTGCCAGTTGAAGGTCTCACTTTTGAAGTTTTACTTAAGGCTTTCTTCTGCTGTAAAGCCATGGTATACTTGCTCACAGCATTCCGATATTCCTTATCATGAAAGAGAGAATCTGCATGATACACCAAAAGCTGGTACTTCTGAGATGGGGAGAATAACTCACTAGAAAACAAAGAAAGGATACCCCCTACATGGGTTGTTTTTGAAATGTTAGAAAATACATGCCTGCCCTTAGTGTCCCTTCTTAGTGTCCCAGCCTAGCACACAGCCTTATGTAATGAGTTTCCAAAAAAATAAATGTGCCTTTAAGTGCTAGTTCCTAAAATTAGAGGGATGAGGCGTACTCTACATTAATATGGTCAACACATCTAGAAAACTGCCTTAAATATTTCCTTTACTTACTATAAAAGCAATGATATCTTTAAATCTCTTTGTATAACTCTACAAAGGTGTACAAAGAGAAATGTAATATACCTTTTCCTCCTCTCCTTTAACCCAAGACTTAATTTAACAGTTTGATATCCATTCTCTCTTATATTAACATCAATTTTTAGGATAAGACAAAGAAGAACAATCACAATGATTTAAATAGTATTACCAAAGAAGGGTTGAAAACTTAGAAGAGAAAGTTCATCAGTTGAATCCTTTTTAGGAAAGTACTGAAAAGAGGTTTGTAGGGAACTGAAAACTCTTCAAATCCTTAAGAAAATAGAAATACTGAAATATGGAAATAGAAGAGGATAAGCTAATGAAATAGAGTGGGATAGAAAGAGGGTTAGTCTTATTTGATAAAGGTTTTTTATTTTATACACAAAAGTAAACTTTATAAGCACTTGGAGAATTTTTATCTTAAGTCTCAGGGACTTAAGGACAGTGTATTTAATGAGAAATAAGATTGGACAGAAAAGTTACTATACTCAGGAAGCATTTAGATACTTATGTATATTATATTTATATAACATACATGCCTACTTACGTTATCTCTGGAATGATATGTGAGAAACTTAATGTTGTTTGCCTCTGGAGAAGGGAAATGGTGGGGTGAGGTTCAAGACTCAGGGACAGGTACTTATCTGCAGACCCTTTCTGCTTTGTTCGAATTTTTTTTTTTTTACTGTATTGTATTGTCAATTCAGTAAGAAATTTGAAAATATAAATGACAAAGGTCAGAATCTAAATGCCTCTGGAAACTAGTTAACTGCCAGTTTAACCTAATATGAAGAAGTCTAGTCAGAGGATCAGACTGCTTCTAACTACCTTGTACCATCTTCAAGAACCAAGGACAATGACTACCTCCTGCACAAATTCCCAACGGTGGAAACTGTTCCTTGACAAATCACTCAGAACCAGTGAAAGGCTCCAGAATAAGCACAGAAGGCTGGCACACCAGGGCTCCTCCCTGTCAACACTAAGGGGGCAGTGGCAAAATGATGGGTTAGCACCCTGATGGGAATGAACTGGGAGAGCAGCTGCACTGGAAGCATCCAACGGCCTTTCTTCTCTGCCCTATACAGCATCACGAGCAGGCCAGATGCAAATGGGTCCACCCTGAGTAGAAAATCCTACATAATAAAAGAGTGATGATATGCAAACTGTCGCCTGGACCAGGAGTTCAACCAGAGTTCGACCAGGAGGCGGAGCTGCCCCACCAACTGCCCCGGCCCCTCCCCCTGGACAGCCGCCCACACACTGATGGGGCTGGAAAGGCCCCCCCCACGCACGAATTCGGGCACGGGGCCTCTTGTCTAATTATAATGCCATTTAGAGATAGCAGGCTGTCCTGGTCAGAATGGAGACCCTCAGAGTCAAAAGGACCAAAATCCAGACATTATGGCTCCTCCACTTCCTAGACGTGAGAACTTACAGGGTATTTCACCTCCTTAAGGTTGTATGCACTCCTTCAGCACGTGCAGTAAATGTCTGCGTGCTTTCTGTACGGAGGCACAGGGCCGACTTCCTTAGGAGTTAAGAGATGTGTTCTTTAACAGGGTGACGTGGAATACAGATCTTCAAAGTTCTCACCAGAAAAAACAAAAAACAAAACAAAACCCCACCTGTAACTACATGTAGTGATGGATGTTAACTAGACTTATTGTGGTGCTCCTACCACAACAGATACAGAATTATTACGCTGTGCACCTGAAATTAAAATATAAATGTTACATGTCAATTATATCTCCGTTTTTTAAAAGTAAAGTGATGGGCAGACTATAAAACAGGGCAAAGGGATAGACAGTAAGGGTGAAGGAACAACTGAGGAGCTGAGAATTCTTGGGAAGGGATACTGTGCTGAAACCTGTGCGAGGAGGCGGGTCTACGGGAAGAACTCCGAGCAGAAAGACAAATGCAAAAGCCCTGAGCTGAGGACGTGTTCAGTGTCGGAAAAAACAGGCGGGGAGGGAGGCGGGAGCGCAGAGAGCCGGGGCCGTGAGAGGGCGCTGGGGAGGGGGTGTCTGGCCTCGCTGGCCCCGGGAAGGACCTTAAAATGAAGACATTGAAGCCCTCAAGGCTGCAGAGAGCCCTGCGCCTCTGCCGTCGTTAAGACTCAATACCGGGCAGCTCTGACCACAGAAAAGGGGCCCCTCCCTCCTCCCGGGGTGTCTCCATTCCCAGGGGTTTGCCGGGGCGAGGAAGCGAGCCCTGCTCACACCCTCCGGGGGGAAAGCCCGTCCCAAACGCGGGCCGACGGTACGAAAGCAGGAGACGCGGGGCCTCTGCGCTTCGCCGAAGGAGAAAACGTTCTTCGGGAAGGAGCTGGGAAGAGAGGAACCCGCCCGGCGACGTGACAGTCGCCGTGCCCGGCAGCAGGTACCTCAGGAAACCCCTACGCCCTCAACTTTCCCGGGCACCCTCGCCAGGGTCGCCCTCAGAGCCCCCGCCTGGCATTTCTGGAAGCCGCCGCCGCCGCCGACACTCGACACGTTCCCCGCAGGGAGTTCGTCCCAGTGACCGCCGCCGGCGCTCCTCAGTCGGCCCCGCGCGAGGAGGCCCTCCTTCCCGCAGTCCCGAGGCCCCCTCAGCCCCCGCTCCCCAACGGGCGCCGCTTTCTCCTCAGCCCCCGGCCGCTCCCCGCCTCCACTCACGGGTTGTTATTACTCATTGTAAGTAACAAGCTGCTGAGGAGCCGCACGTTGGAGTGCAGCCCCGCGGCCGCCATGTCTCGCACGTGGTCTATCACATTCATCCTGCCCGGCAAGGCCGCGGGGAGCGGTGGCTGCGGCACGAAAAGCCGGTAGGAGATCCTTAGGGAAGACCCCAAAATGGCGGTCGCGGCTGGGTCCATCGGGTCCACCAGTGGCACCGCCCCCAGGAAAATAGGCAACTACTGAAGTTGCCTGAATAAATACCTCGGTTTCTTCCCCGCCCCCTTTCAGGTGGAATGATTTGGGTTTCGGTTTGCTTTGTTTTAGCGAAAGCCGCGTCATTATGCTAAGTTGCACCCTTTAGTGGGGACTTACAGTGCGCTGGGGATAAAAGGCACCTGAGTGTAGTAAATACATGCTCAATTGAAATGAATTCGGGAGGAATTTGTGTGTCTCAGAAATTCATAATAATGTCTAAACATTTATGATAAATAAACATTAATATCGTAGGTTATGTGTGATCCTTAACAGCTGTATTTAAATATTTTAATCAGGCGCCAGGGACAGTCCTAACTGCTGTGAGTAACGCAGGCGCACCGGGCTGAGGGCACCACGCCCCCTCCTCTGGACAGTTAAGCGGACCTGCGGGGGCCGGGCTTCACTTGGGTGGAGAAGGGCTTGCTTTTGGCCAATGAAATGAATCACTAGTTCAGAGTGAATCAAGGCGAGGTTGAGCTTTAGCCATCCTAATATGTGTTGTTTTAATTTGCAATTCCCTGGTCCACCTGTGTAGCTGCCTTCTTTGGTGAGGTTTCTGTTGAGAGCCTTTTCTGGTCTTTCAATCGGATTATGGTCTTACCTATTGAGTTTTAAGGGTTCTTTGTATATTTTGGGTAACAGTGTTTGTCTGATTTATCAGCTTCGTGTTTTGCAAATATTTTCCACCAGTCTGTGACTTGTCATTCTCTTGGCCACCCCTCACTTTTACAAAACAAACAAACAAAAAAACCTACTTTCAGTAATAATCCTGAAATGACTAATAATGGCCTGGGAAAAATCAGACAGTGAAATATTATTTTATTAAACTTCATCGAAATAATGATGCCAGTACAATTTTAATGAAAAATAAAACTGATATTACAATACAAAAAGATAATGCATTAATATTTTTAATTATATTAATGTATTTAAGAAAGACTTTTATCCTACATATTGGATTAGCAAGAAAAATTGCCGAATCCGGTTTGGCTCAGTGGGTAGAGCGTTGGCCTGTGGATTGAAGGGTCCCAGGTTCGATTCTGGTCAAGGGCCTGTACCTGGGTTTCGGGCACATCCCTAGTAGGAGATGTGCAGGAGGCAGCTGATCGATGTTTCTCTCTCATCGATGTTTCTGACTCTCTATCTCTCTCCCTTCCTCTCCATAAAAAATCAATAAAATATATTTTTTAAAAAAGAAAATAATATAGTTTCTGGCTTTGGTCCTTAAATTTTGCAAGTTTGCCAATAACTGTTAAAACTGATTGTCTTTGCATATTAATGTTCAATTAGCACTACAGACAGATTTGTCATATAGAAATGGAAGGAACTTAAATGCACTGAAAGAAGCCAAAGTAAAAGACTACATACTGTAAGATTCTAACTATATGACATCCTGGAAAAGATGAAACAGTAAAAAGGTCAGTGGTTGCCAGGTGTTAGGGAGGAGGAAGGACTAGATGGAACACAGGTGATTTTTATGGCAGTGAAATTATCTGATACTATAATGGTGGACACATGTCCTTCATTATATGTTTGTCAAAACTCATAGAATGTACAACATAAATTGTGGACTTAAGCAGGTTTATAGAGAAAAAATAAAGAGACAAAGGAGAATCTACCTTCTCCGGAATTTTTTTTTACAATCCTCTTTAAAATCAATTGCCTCCAAGTAGAATGGATTCCAAGGTTAAATTCCCTTAATATAATGTAAGTCAGATCATACTGACTTGAATGTTATTCAAAGGACAGATAGCGATACATGTATAGCAACTCAAGACACACAGATATAGCCGGGGGACAAGGCTTCCTTTTTCTCATGGAATCATCTTCTGAAATGATAACTTTGGAACTGGAGCGGACATTAGAAATTATCTCACATTCATTCTTCCTTTCCTGGGCGAAGAAATGAGGCCTGTGATTGACGAGTAGACAGCTGGCTGTGGACCTTTAGGTTAGCCACTTTAACAGATGCGAAATGACGTGGACACCGGATACCTTGGGGTACTGAATCAGATACTTTAAAGCAGCGGTTCTCAACCTGTGGGTCGAGACCCCTTTGGCGGTCGAACGACCCTTTCACAGAGGTCGCCTAAGACAGGGGTGGGGTTCTTAAACTGGACCAGAGGGCCGGAACAAAAGCATGGATGGAGTGTTTGTGTGAACTAATATAAATTCAAAGTAAACATCATTACATAAAAGGGTACGGTCTTTTTTTAAATAGTTTTATTCATTTCAAACGGGGCGGATCCAGCCTGCGGGCCGTAGTTTGCCCACGGCTGGCCTAAAACCATCCTGCATATCAGGATGTAAAATATATTTACATTACAATTCATAACAGTAGCAACATTACAGTTATGAAGTAACAACGAAAATAATTTTATGGTTGGGTCACAACATGAGGAGCTATATTTAAAGAGCCAGAAGGTTGAGAACCACTGCAAAGGAACAATTTATTAATGTAAATTTTCTGCTCCACTTAAGTTCATTTCTGAACGCCCAGCAGCCTCCTAAGAATGAAAATCTTTCCCAGCTGCATTAGACATTTTTCTTAGATCTGTCTTTTGTACCAAGGGGAAAAACACAACACTTGTAAATTACTCTAAGGGAAACATTACTTAACATCTCTTAAGTGTCTTCTGGCAGTGATAGCCTTCCTTTCAGTGGAAAGGAACTTCAGAACAAAGAATTTGCCAGAACAACTGGAGAAAATACATACGGCCATCTTTCCAAGTGATTTTCCCTCTCTGCAGTAAAATGTATTCTGGAGTTCTAAGTCCTGACATTTTGTTTATGAGATGGTCAGACAACTAAGGCGATGGCAACTAACTCATTCAACCACAAATGCAAAACCAAGAGGGCTTGCCCCAGTCAGAGGTCAACTGCCATAAAATAAAGTTTTCTGGAGACTTTAATACTAGTAACAACACGAAGAAATTCCTTTCTCCGAGTCCCAGGTTTTACTGATCAACCTCTTATTCTGATTAACTTCTTAGATTGATTCTTCGCTGATTCTTCCCTCCCATTTATCTACCCTCCAAAACATCTGATGCATTGTAACTAATGCAAACTTATAAAAATCCTGATTTTATCTTCTTGCCTCTCCGCTTGAAAATCTAAATGTTGCCCAGCCAGCGTGGCTCAGTGGTTGAGCGTTGACCTATGAACCAGGAGGTCACGGTTCAATTCCCAGTCAGGGAGCATACTAGGGGTGCGGGCTCGATACCAGTGTGGGGTGTGCAGGAGGCAGCTGATCAATGGTTTTCTCATCATTGATGTTTCTATCTCCCTCTCTCTTCCTTTGTGAAATAAATAAAAATATTTTTTTAAAGAAAATTTAAGTCAGTGAACATTTACTAGGTATTTACATTTACTGTCTTGGCTTTCAAAATCTTCATTCATTCAATATATACTTGAGTGCCTACTGTATGCAGGCACAGGGGCTACAATGATGCATTGCCCAATTTAAATGGCAATAAGACAGCCAGATAGTGATTCAGGAAAAAGTCTTACAGGGTCTTGAGATACAATGGCAAATGATTTCTTTAAAACACCGCGAGAAGCAGGAACTGGAACAGATACTTGTACACCAAAGTTCATTACAATATTATTCACGATGGCCAAAAGGCAAAAACAGCCCATGAACAGATGAAGGGATAAACAAAATGTGGTATGTCCTACAATGGAATATTATTCAGCCATCAAAAGGAATGAAGTTCTGATACATGTTACAACATGAATGAACACTTAAAACATTAAGTTAAGTGAAAGAAGCCAGTCACAAGAGGACAAATAATGGTATGATTCTCCTTATATGAAGTATCTAGAAATCCAGAGACAGAAAGTAGATTAGAGGTTCCCAGGGGCTGGGGGAGGAGGAACGGGGAGATACTCTTAGGGTACAGTTTCTGTTTGGGGTGATGAAAAAATTTTAGAATTAGATAATGGTGATGGTTGCACACCATAATTCTAATTAATGCCACTAGATTGTACACTTAAGATAGTTAAAATGAAATTCATTATAAAAATAATGTAGTAGCCGAAACTGGTTTGGCTCAGTGGATAGAGCGTCGGCCTGCTGACTGAAAGGTCCCAGGTTCGATTCCGGTCAAGGGCATGTAGCTGGGTTGCAGGCACATCCCCAGTAGGAGATGTGCAGGAGGCGGCTGATCGATGTTTCTGTCTCATCGATGTTTCTAACTCTCTATCTCTCTCCCTTCCTCTCTGTAAAAAATCAATAAAATATATTTTTAAAAAAAATAATAATGTAGTAGGCTAAAAAATCAAATTGTACACTTTAAATGTGTATGGTATGTGAATTGTATCTCAGGAAAACTTTTTTTAAAAGCACTTGACAGTCAAGTACAGAAACTGTGCAATGAGCAGGAAAAGTGATGTTTGCTCAGGCAAACAGTTCTCATAGTGGTGGGTAAAAGCAGAGTTGTGTCTGAGTGTGGACAATCTATCAAGTCCTTTGGATTGCCAATAAAATAGTTTTTTTAAAAAATATATATTTTACTGATTTTTTACAGAGAGGAAGGGAGAGGGATAGAGAGTTAGAAACATCAATGAGAGAGAAACATCGATCAGCTGCCTCCTGCACACCCCCTACTGGGGATGTGCCCGCAACCAAGGTACATGCCCTTGACCGGAATCGAACCTGGGACTGTTCAGTCCCCAGGCCGACACTCAATCCAGTGAGCCAAACTGGCTAGGGCCAATAAAATAGTTTTAAATTCTTAGCCTGACCCTTACTCTCAAAAATTATGGGGCATTAAGTACCTCTTGCGAGGGCAGCTTCTTCCCCACCAGATTCCTTGCCCTAAGGTTTCCTTCATGCCAGGCTTGATCATAGCCCAATTTACCCCTTGCCCATGTAGCCTGCCTAATTTGGCTCACTTGTTCGGATGAGCTCAGAGTGTCATCTTCCCTAAATCTTCCCCAACTGACTTCAGCAATCACA